TTATAATGCGAATAGGCCAACAAAAAGACTGCCCTACAGCAGCCAGGTGATGAGAAGAAACTACCAGTATTAGCAAATTGTGGTCTGAAATAGTCCATCCATTGGCTTTTTATAGTTCTAACACATTGGTTCCCAACCTTTTCTATACCCTGCACTCCTAGAACGCTTCTGATATATTCTCATACCCCTTACAAACATTTGAAATAACGGCAACGAATTATGCATATACACTATAATTTTGAAAACCCAAGTTTTTGTACCCCCTGGAATATCGCCTCGCATCCCTGGTTGGGAACTCCTGTTCTAACAGGAGGTTCTTTAGTGAAGATTTGCCTGGGGCCTTTTTTCTTCTGAAATAATTGTAGGCTCTAACCCAGGGTAGGCAACCTTGGCTCTTTTATGACTCGTGGACTTCAACTCCCAGAATTCCTCTGGCTCAGGTGGCTGGCTCAGGAATTCTGGGAGTTGAAGTCCACGAGTCATAAAAGAGCCAAGGTTGCCTACCCCTGCTCTAACCTATCCAGAGATTCCTGTGGCAGGTTATAGTCTTTTAATATCAGGATAAAGCAAACCTATGACCACTATTAGGACCAGAACGTCTGTCGCTAAGCAAGCTGTCATTAAGTGAATTGCATCCAATTTTATGTCCTTTTGCTGTGGTCATTAGGTGAATCACCATAGTTGTCAAGAGAATCTCATGGTCATTAGATGAAACCAGCTTCACCCATTGACTTTGTTAGAAGCCAGCTAGGAAGGTTGCAAATGGCAATTACGTGACCACGGGATGATGCAACCGTTGTAAATACATGCTGGTTGCCTAACGCCTAAGTTTTGATCATGTGCAGAAATGTACCGCGTTGTCCTAGACCAGGGGTAGGCAACCTTGGCTCTTTTATGACTTGTGGACTTCAACTCCCAGAATTCCTGAGTCAGCATAGCTGCCCAGAGGGGAGTTTAAACACTATATAAATAAGCTTTAGAGGATTCTTCAGTGTGTATATTTAGTGGACTTCCAGAAGAAGAAATGGTGGACTGAAGACGACTCTGTGAAAAATGGAGCTGAGGACCATGGCCAAAGATTGAAGGGTCAATGAATATTGACCCTTTCTATTTTCTGTATTTTTCTTGTTCTCTGTACCTTCCATTCTTCCATCCTATTTTTAGTTTAATAATAGATTTTGCTATTTTAATTAAAATCCTTAGTATTTAATTTAGTTTATTTTACTTTAATAAATTAAATTATTATTTAACTCTTTTTATGTATTTTAATTTAATTAGAATCCTTAATTGTTAAGTTCAAATAGAGAGGCAGAGAGGATTTTTCAGTGTGTATTTTCATTTATATATCATATGGATTTAGACTATTTTACAATAGTTCCGTTATTTATTTATTTCCTTAAGGATTTGTTCTAGAAATAGAAGAAGCAAGGTCTGAAGAAACTCCCCTTACCAAGACAATATGTTGTTTGTCTGGCTAAATGCAGATAGATAATTTTATTGGTTCATGAGAATGTGGTGTCTTCAACTGCATTTACATTATCACCTTATTACTGAAATGGAAGGAAAGGTCATCCTAGTTACTCAAGAAGCAGGGATAATGGGTCTCCACAGAGGAAGAGATAAACTTCTGTCTTGACCCTAAGGGCAAGTTGGGGTATTGTGTTGGCAATCACAGATACATTCGCATTGACATGCCCACGTATATATAGAGCACAGTGTTCTCCATCCAGAGGATATAAAGAGGGAACATTACAACCGGCCTCCACCCTTCTTAGTTCACCAGTGGTGCATTGGTTACTGATTTTCTGCAGAACTAGGGCCCATAGACCCCATCAGAAGGTCAGAACTTCAGCTTCTCTTCTGAGAGGGCCCTGCAGCTGTTGAGTTTCACAGAAACAAGATCTTTTAAGAAATAGATTTAGCTGCAAGCTTGGCTGAATGGTGGATGCAGGCAAGTGGAGAGGAGAGGAGACTGTAAGGCTCTTGGAAGGCAGTAGATTGCTCACTCTTTTCCCAGATCTGGTATTACCTTTCCTAATGTGAGAAACTGCACTTTCAAACTACCGGTAGGTGTTCCTGTGCTGAATGCAAATTTGCTTAATACTTTAAATGATTGAAGAAAGCAAATGGACTTGATCATTGTATGCGTAATGATCAGGACAGTTTTGCGTGATTGTTTTGCTGCATAATATCCATTTCATCAGGCGGTAGTGTTGGAATAACAAGGAAGTAAATTCTCCTTTTGAATTGCGCCAGGTATCCTCAGAAGCTGGATTATCTCTTTTGCTGTTTTTTTTTTGGGGGGGGGGTTTGCAGAACTTCTGTCTGTGGCCTTGCTGATCCATTCTGGTTATTCTCACATGATCCTGCATTTGTGACTGTGGCATTTTCTTAATAAGTGTTTAGGAAGTGATAATAGTTCTGAGTCATGGCTGACTGTGCCTGGTGGTTGGATGTAGTTTTCGCACAGTGAGACTTGATGGCCTGATTCATTGAAATATGAGACCGCTTACAGTTTCCATGCCGAGGAACAAAAGAATAATGGCCCGCAAAACACATTTTACTGCTATTAGCTTTTCAAGCAGACTGAGCTATTCTCTAGTGTGCTTGGGCAATTATGTTTGTGTTTGATCTTTGCCCGATTGCTGTTTCCAAAACTAAGGTGGTTGCTTTCCTTTCCTTTCCTTTCCTCTCTCCTACCATCTTTGACCTGAGGCGAGGAAATACATTGAATTAAATAAACTGCTAAGATTAAAGAAGAGATGAAGATTGACTGTATTGTCAAAACATGAAAGTAGCGTATAATATGTGGAAAGCTGGCCAATCATCCTTCATCATGCATTGATATCGAACTGCGCATCACTGGCAAAGCAGGTCACTAGAATAATAAAGAGATGTCAGTGATGCTGATTATTTGGACATGTCCACCAGGGAATATCTTCTTGAAGAAATCATCAGTACATACCTAGATTATTTTTAAAACATCTTTCTTACATAGAAAATTATTATAAAAACATTGTAACTCTCCCCCACTTTTTTTCCCTACCAAAATGCCCACTGCAGATACTGTGATGAAAACAGACTGTTGATTGAAAGAATTCTATAGGATGTATATGTGTGACTAGGGGCATCATATATTTTTTTCAGCAGAGGACAATTTGGCAGGTTTTACCTCCAGTGCTGTGGGTTCCCAAGAGCTTGACTCTTTCAGATTTCCCATTGATAGGAAGTCCTATAAGAACACAGAAGGGCTACAGTAATGATTACTGTGGCGGCAGCGCTAACCTGAAATTCCACTGCCTTAGGAGATGGCCTTTGTTTGTTAAGCAGCCTCTGTAGCAGTATTTCCCAACCGTGGGAATTTCCAGGAGTGTGGACTTCAATTCCCAGAATTCTCATCATTAACAAAATCAAATGAGTTGGAAGAGACCTTGGAGGTCTTCTAGCCCAGAGGTCCCCAACCTTTTGGGCACCAGGGACCAGTTCCGTGGAGAGATGTTTTTCTGCGGACTGGAAGAGGCCTGGTTTCATGTACTGCCTGCATCCAGTGGATGGGGCGTTGCTTGTTTGCGCAGCCCGGTTTCTGCCATGCTGTGGCCTGGTGCCGGTCCACGGATGGGGGATGGGGACCCCTGCTCTAGTCCAATCCCCTACTCAAGCAGAAAACCCTATACCATTTCAGATAGATGATTGCCCACTCCCTTCTTAAAAACCTCCAGTGTTGGAGTGCCCCCAACTTCTGGAGGCAAGTCGTTCTACTGATTAATTGTTCTAACTATCCGGAATTTTTTTCCTTTGTTCTAGATTGGTTCTTTCCATCCATTGCTTCTTGTCGTGCCTTTAGGTGCTTCGGAGAATAGGTTAACCCCCTCTTCTTTGTAGCAGCTCCTTAGGTATTGGAACATTGCTATAAATGGTCATGCTGGTTTTGGAATTCTAGGGGCTGAAGACCATGCTCCTGGAAATTTCCAAGGTTGGAAAACCCTGGTTTATTGACTGCCCAAAACAGGCTAATTATGGCTTTTACCCACTTCTCTGTCCCCCACACCTTTTCTGATTTTTTTACCTTCTACATGCAAGTAAGAAACTCTGACGCTTCCAAAACATTCATAATCAATCGTGTAGCTTTTGTTGATTTTTTAATCTTAATCTTTTTCAGTTTAGTAATGTCAAAAAAGTAATTAAAACTTCAAAATAATACCTAAAGCAAGGGAATGAAACATTCTAGATTTAGATATAATATCTAATGTGCCAAGTCAAGAGTACGATGGTAGATTGGTTTTGATGGGGTTCTAAATATATCCACAGAAGTGAAATTGTTGGGCTGAGAAATATGAAGAAAATTTGATCTAGCAAGACCAAGAAAGAACTTTTCTTGAAAATCAGCTGTGCTATATAGGTTTTTTTAAAGAAAATTTTATTGATTTTCTAGTTTTACATTTAAATATTTGAAAAGCAACGTGGCGGCTGAGTTGGTCAATAATTGAATAACATACAAATAACTTTAGTACAGATCACAAACTATTACATTAAATATTTCCTCTCTTTTCCCCTTGATATTTACTGTCTCATATTTAAATTAATACAATTCTTATTATATCGATTAAATAAAAATAACTTTCTTACATTTATCAATAATTTTTAGTTTAGCTGTGCTATATAGTTACTTTCCAAGGCACAAAATAAATTTACAACTCCATTTTAATTTGATATCGTTTCCTTCATAAAAGTAAACCATTGTAAACTTTTTATCTCTAAAATGCATTTTAGCTTTGATTTTTGGTAAAAAAACACTTTTATTCCCAGTACTTTCCCTTATACTGATATACTTGCAATACGCTTGGGGATAGTCAAGACTATAAAAACTGTAAAATACTGCCTGAATATTAATAGCAACTTATTTATGAAACTAGAATACATTTAGAATATAGAAGGAGCACTTCATTACATTTTGATGTGTTTACCATGGCTTCATCCCTCTACTTTTTCCCTCCCTCCAGGAATTCCAGAAAGGAACTTAATGACATACGATTTGAGTTTACTCCAGGCAGAGGTAAGACTTTTAATTGAAATTATGTTTTTATGACTCCAAATGGAATTTCAGAAATTGATTTCTGTTTTATCGGCTTAGTATAAATTAGCTCTATGAAACGTACCAACCAAATGTTTTAGACTATCCTAATTCACCAAAACAAATCTAGTGCCAAGTGTGCATATTTTTAGTGGCATAGTTATGGATTGTATGGTTGAACTTAGAGGATGTTACATAGGAAAATAACTGTCTGGTACTTTTGCTTGATTTTAATCTAGTGAAGTACAGTCCATTAATGTCTCCCCGCTGATAGCTGATCTAATAGTTTTGTACTGAATGCAATGTTATGGTATGCCAGTAAGTGGTCCCGATATAAAAACTAACCATAGATAGAATATAAACTGCCAAAGGCTTGATAATTATGCTTTTAAAACCACCCCCCATATTGCTCTAGGAGACACTGTAATGTTTCCCCTAGCAACAACAAGGAAAACACATAGCTTTTGAATACTTTAATCTTTGTAGCATAGCTCAGACAGCAGCAGCTCATCTACTGTCAGGCACAAAAAACCAGGTCCACCCGTGAAGGCCTAATTAAACTGATTTATTGCTAAAAAACCTGGTGACAGGAATCTACTCAACTAACTGGTCAGCACATGTTGGGAGTTAGATAACAGTTAACAGAAATCAAGGGGGAGTAGGGTTGAACTTAATCTGCTTGTGGCTACTAGGGATTCTAGGCTGATCCTTCTTTTAACTCCGCCCTCAGGTTCTTCTACTGCTTCTCCTACAGCTGAATGTCTTAATGAAGTATTTATACTTGTCTTTGCTGATATCATGTACAGGTGGTCCTGGACTTACAACCATTCATTTATTCATTGACTGTTCAAAATTACAATGGCACTGAAAAAAGTGACTTAGAAGGGGTCCTCACACCTACAGCTGCCACAGCATCCCCACAATCATGTGATCGCCATTTGTAACCTTCCCTGCAGGCTTCCACTAAGCCAGATTCATGTAACAATCACGCAATTCACTTAACAACTCTGACAAAAAAAGGTTGTAAAATCCAGTATGACTCACTTAGCAGCCATCTTGTTTATAAACTGTGGTCATAAACTGAGGTCTACCGGTAATGGACATAACATAAATCCAGAGGGGGAAAAATACTGACTGCATGGCTAATAGTGAAGAATGCTAGATGCTGTAGGAACAGCTTCTCCCAAGCTACAGGCTGCCCAGTTCTGCTTTAACCAAAGCTGTTCACGTTTAAGCCTTGTAGCTAAATTTTAAAAAGCTGCAGGTATTCAGGACAACCGTGTTTTAATTGATCTTTCCTTTGAAAATGTTTTTATTTTTATCGTTGCACAGTTGACCATGCTTTAAAAGCAATCTCGATGCAAATAAAACAACAGTATTGTATGTCTGTCTGACTTCTGCAATATACACAGTTGAAGATACAAGGGCTGATATAGTCCTCCTGACACACAAGCATTTTGATTGTGGTATAAAATGTTCCCTCACTGAAAATATCGGAAAGCAGTGTAACACAAGAATATATCAAGTTGAGATTGTTGGAACAACATAGCTTAGGAAGGCTAATAAAGGCTAAGAACAATAGTTACAAAAGGTACAGCAGCTTTCTATATTAATTTGCAGCTTTAGGCAAAAATTTTCTCATAGCGAGACGCTAGTGCTGTCCTCAGATTGCAAGCCTTCTGTGTAGACCCAGGAGGAGGCTTCCAGGTTACTAATAACATTTACCTGTAGATGTCTTGTGTGAATGAAATTCCTCTCTTCAAAGTGAGGAAAGGGAATAAAAGTGTTATGTCTGTGCTTGTTTAAGAACATTGTTATGTTTCCGTGTCTCTTTGAATAAAGATGTCCAATTATGTATTATAAGAGAACTTTGGTACTTAAACAGTAATGCTTTATATAAGATTTATGAAGAATGTATCAGTTCTGTGGGGTCCTACCATGTTGAAATTGCAGAGTAGTAGTAATGGAATGCAAGTTGTTTTTAATGAAAATAGTTTTGATTGACGCACGTGTTGGCAATGGTTGTTCATTAGAATAAATATACTTCTTATACAAATTGCCTTGGCTTATTGATATTTTTCATTTTTGTCACTTTTATTAGGCCTAATGCCTATTCATTTCACATTTTACAGATACGGCAGATGGTGTATCTCAAGAGCTGTTCTCTGCAGGCTTGGTTGATGGCCATGATGTAGTTATAGGTAAATTATGTTTCATTCTAAGATTATGTTATACCCAAAACTCAGAACATTAAATGCATACAGGCCCGTTCATAATATCATCCGTGCTTGGAATTTTATGAAAACATACCACGGCATTTTTCTTCAATTCACAAGGTATATTTCCTGATGTGATTTAGACAAATGCTTCACTTTACTTTAATTTAGGTATTCTTTCTTCACTTTGGTCTTTATGTTCTAAAAATCTTATATTAATGCTTCTGTTTTCTTTTGTCCTTTCTATTCCTTCTGACATGTCCCTTTGGATTGTGATTATTGTGTAACTGTCCCTTGCCAGCCTTAATAACTTCAGTAAATCTCAGAAAACGAGAGAAAGGATTTAGATTCTATAGGATCTTCATGGATGATGAGCAACAATTTTCCACATCAGCAGCTACTTGGGAGCTGAAATGATTAAAGTGGGCTTTCCCAGCTTGGTACCAATCAAATGGGAAAAGTTGAAACTATGTACAAAATTTGTGGTTTTTCTGTTCTGTAACTCAAGCTCTGCTTTTATAATCTCAGGCTGAAGGAGAATTAAATAAAATCCTCAATTTTAGTTTAAATCAGGAGGGCAATAGGATGACTATAGAATCTTGAATTTACTTTACTTCCACTTAATATTGTTGATACTGTGCTTTCAGGAGAAAAGTAGAGCATTTGTCTTTATATAGATACTGAAAATTGTTTAGGAATTTGACGGGAGCCCTGCCCACAGGCCCAAGTTCTATAGCACTTTTCTCAATCTCAGCAACTTTAAGATATGTGGACTTCAACTCCCAGAATTCCTCAGCCAGCATGCTCTCTGGGGAATTCTGGGAATTGAACTCCAAGCTTCTTAAAGTTACTGAGCTTAAGAAACACTGACCTATACATTCATTCAGTGAACTAGACTTACAGTGTTATTTGTGGGCCTTCACACATTTTTCTTTGTTTAGTTTTTACTTATCTATGCATATACATAACATTTTTTTAGAAAATATGTGCAAGGGAGACAGATAATATTACATGTTCTCCCATGAGAGATGCAAATTGCAACAAAAACTTGTTTTGTGGTTTAGTTCTGCCATCTTCCAGAATGATGAAGAATCAGTGCCATCTCTTTGAATAAAATACCAGATATTTAAACCAGCCAAACTTCCTTCTTTCAGAGTTTCTGTTTGATTAAAAAAAGTATAATTATATCAAATAGGATTTTTTTTTTGCCATTTCTTATAGTGTATACACCCTCGCTTACAAACAATTCTTCCTGCAGTCCTCCGAATGAATATTTTTCTGTAACTTGAAATGGCAAGGATAAATTGAACTTTTATTTTCAGGAAGAAAACTGTAGCATACATTCTTTCCCTCTGTTTGCATTCCAAAGACTCCTGTGGATTACATGCCATTTTTTAGGTGAAATGTGCAGAAAATTGACCTGTTGTTGATGTGAGAAAAAAACAAAAATTGGATTTGGTGAAAGTGCTTTGAGATCTGAGATTCTATTTATTTTCTTCATGAACTATAAATAATACAAAATTTGAAAACCCAGATGAACAGGGCAATATTTTTCTTTGACTTATATATCTCTATATTGTATATTAATAATTATATCAAGTAAATCTGAAAACTTCCAGCAACATGCATAGATAAAAAGTTTTATTGTGTGTGTGTATGGATAAGCACACTTCAAGCACATTTATTGTGTGGTGTTGATTTTCAAGGAGGCTTCATGTGTGGTGTTTAAAAAGATTTGATATGAGGTTCAACATGAGTTTAAAAACAGATATAATACTTCCGGGCAAGTCAGTGTGTCTGTAAAATAGAAAAACCTGAACTTTTTAATGACTTTTTATTCCTTGTTCAAAAGATAAATCTTACACATAAAAAACATAAGTAACTTTGCTTGAATTCATCGGTTCTAGTTGCGTCTGTCATTTTCACTCAAACTTAAATTTAAATACGCTTTTCAGAATAAGAGTCTCTTGGCTTATATTGAACCATAAATCAGCGCTTAGCCCTGATGCCTCTAATAAAAATTAGATTTATGACCCATTTCCTAAAGCAGGGTCATCCGTGAATTTACCTCATTCATTCATTTAGAAAACATTGCTTGCATTAGCCATAAATAAATCGCTCCAGATCAGATGATTTTGTAAGAGTAAAAGTAAATGGTAAACCTTTCTTCGTACAGACACACTTGCATGCACATGCACACACTACAGCAGTGTTTATGATGCTGGAGAGACATCTCCTGTATTCATTCTTTACCCTTGTCAACATGGTCAGCGACAAGAGAATTCAATAAACCTGGAGGAGCACCAGCTTGCTGCTTGTGTCTTAAAGCTCTGTTGGGTCCTAAAGCTAAAGTAATCACTTCTTGAATGGCAGCTCACATTAGAGACAGCTATGCCTGTTTCCAGGCATATTGGGATAGTTGTATTCCTTCTTGTGATCCTTCCTATGGCGATGAAAGTATAATTGGGCTCCAAGGACAAACTCTGAATGAGATTCCTGCCGAATATTTTTATCCAGGGCGCAGGTCTGATTGAGAGGGACATTCAAAACTTGTTTGAACGTTAAGTCTTAATCTCTAATGCAGTGGTTCTCAACCTGTGGGTCGGGACCCCATTTGGGGTCGATCGACCATTTCATGGGAGTCGCCAAGCAAGGCTGTCCGCCATTTTTTTTGTCCGCCATTTTTTCCCCCTTTTCCGGCAGGTGCCTTACCTCCCTTGGACTGGGCCAGCTGGTGGTCGGCCTGCTCTGTCTCTGCCGCTTGCCAGCTACGCCTCGGCCGGTGCAGGGAGCGGAACCACGCATGCGCGGCGCTCCCGGGCAGGGAAAGTCCTCGACTTACGACCGGTTGGGTAGTCCTCGACTTACGACCAGTTTAGTCCTCGACTTACGACCGGTTTAGTCCTCGACTTACAACCAGTTTAGTCCTCGACTTACGACCGGTTGGGGTCGCAGCATTAAAAAGGTTGAGAACCACTGCTCTAATGGAAGATGGGAAAAATTTTTCAATGTGCTAAAGCAGTCTTCTACAGCCATCTTCCAGATGTGTTAGGCTTATAAGGAAGCATAACTTTCAGTAGTTGCCCTTGCTAATGTGAATCAAGAAATCTGTAAAAGCCCTTTAGTTTTAGCATTTGTTCCCAGTCAAAACTGCAATTTTGGAGACGAAGAGATGGGATTTCATGGTAGCCAATTGTATGTGTGATACTACAAGAAGAGACTGAGCTAAATATACAACCAAGACAGGCCTTGCTAGGGGGAAAAAAAAACTAAACTAACTTCCAGCTAAACTAAATGATTTTGGCAGTAAACTGCAAGGATGCCTTTATGATACAACACATAACATGGAGTGACGTCATTGTATAAATGCTCTGAAGATGTGTGAGCATTCGATCATCTGATGCAAATGTCAGTCATCTCATTTACCTGACAACATAATCACACATTATTTGTCCACTCTACTCTTCCTGCAGATGCTGAGAAGTAAGCTAGAACCTTCAGCAGGCAAAGCAATTGAGTCAGATGGGTCCCTCACACACACACACACTTAAGCTTTATTGTTGTCCTGAAAAGTGAAAGTCTTGTGAAAGTCTAAGTTAACCTTCCAGCAGAACAGCTAAGAAGAGCCTAACTTTGTGGTATCCGAAGCAGAACATCCAGATTCAGTCACAGTTTTGTTCCATACAGTATTAACCTTGTGAACTCTCAAACTTCTTCTTTCCACTATGTATTCAAGATGAACAGTGATTAATATTTATATGTTATTTATATGTAAAGGTATAGGTTTATACATATGTTGTATGTAGCACATTTAAATGTGTGTTATGTATGTGTACACTTTTGAGAGCAAGCAACTAAATTTCATTTTTAATGTGTGCCAATGTGCCCACAGTAAAAAATGACAATAAAGGTTGTCTGTCTGCTGCACTTAGCTTGCTAGATACTATAGTTCTTCCTGATAGGCTGAACGTGAAATCTCCATTTTAAAATAATTGTACATTTCGGTGAAGGAATATTCTCCAGTGCCGCATTTGCTTATGAAAGTTATATTTGATTTTTCTTTCTGAATTTCTATACAGAGAGCAAGAGGTTTTAAAATATGCATGAAATAGATTTCTAGCAAGAGTAAATGAGGGGCTGATTGTTAGTTTCATGCAAAGTATGGTCAAAAGAAAAACTGAAATGGCACACCGTAACATTATTATTTCTCAGTAGCTCAGAAAGATCACCTGCAGGAGGTTGCCTAAAGGGTGGATTTGCTGAAGGATATAAAAACAATATAGTTTCTCTTGGAAAAGCCATAGTGGTTTATTCTGTGACTCTCCTCCACAGCTCTCAAGATGGTGCCTGGCTATAAAGCTCATTCTAAGCCTAGTGAGAAGTTACAGAACACAAGGCATTGTCCTTAGGCTATCATTGCTCACTGGAACTTGAGTTCTCAACCTATGACTACAAATGAACCCAAATTTTTGTTACTAAATGAGACTGGTGTTACAACCTTTCTTGCCATAGTTGTTAAATGAATCACTGCATTTGTTAAGTTAGTAACGTTGTTAAGTGAATCTGGCTTCCCCGTTGACTTTGCTTGTCAGAAGGTTGCAAAAGGTGATCACATGACCCCAGGGACGCTGCATACGTCATGCGTATGAGTCAGTTGCCAAGCGTCTGAATTTTGATAGCATGACTATGGGGGTGCTGTAACGGTCGTAAGTATGAAAAATGGTTATAAGCACTATTATTAGTGCTGTTGTAATTTCAAACAGTCACTAAATGAACTGTTGTAAGTCGAGGACTTACCTGCATTGGCAAAAACATTTTTTGACACCACAGCTACTTGGGCTTTTGATGATAAAACTAAATCCAGGAATATCCTTGGATTGTGTTTTTTCCTTTTAGGGGAAGGACAATTCCATTCCATTGTATCCATTTTGAGAACCAGCTGTGCAAAAAACATTCCGGTGTTGTTATATGGTTTCAGTTCATTGGCTATCCTCCAACCAATTATACTTCCAAACACGGATTCAGTACCTATACTGTATGACCAATGGCAAGGAGCTTGCAAGCTAAGCAGGTTTGGACCTGGTTTTTACATGGACATCCCTTGGCTATTGGTTAAACTGAGACATCAGAAGTAATTCCAGAACCTAATGGCAAATGTTACTGATACTTTTGCCATTGCAGGTAATCCTCAACTTGCAACCATTCATTTAGTGACCATTTATAAAAAAGTAACTTATGACCAGTCCTGATAACTTATAGCAATCGCAGTGTCCCCTGGTCCCATGTGACCAAAATTTTGCAACTGGCATGTCTTTACAGTGGTTACAGCATAATGGTGTCATGCGATCACTATTTATAGACTTCCCAGCCAGTTTCTGACAAGCAGAGTTAATGGGGGATGTTGGATTCACTTAATGACTGTGATCCACTTAAGTGACCGCAACCATAAAGGTCATACCATTGGGCACAAGTCCTTTAACTGTGTCGCTTAACAAATTCCAATCCCTATTGTCGTTGTAAATCAAAGACCTTCTTCAGTTGCCTATAAAACCTACATTGATGTATCCATGAAATCACCACAAGGAACATGATTCAAAGGAGGTATCATTTGTCCTCAAGACTGTGACCTTGCCCCAAATCCTCCAATGGGCTCACCTACAAGTTCGATACTTGAAAACAGGAAAGGCAGAATAGAACTGAAGGATCTTACTTTTTACCTTTAGACACTTTTGGTGTACAAGATTCCCCATTCTAGAAATGATACTGGTAGCAAAAGCTTCCACTTCCAGTACTTACAATGAAAATTAGGCCATATTCAATATTCTCAACTTCACGTGTATATAGAGCAGCGGTTCTCAACCTATGGGTCGCGACCCCATGTGGGGTCGATCGACCATTTCACGGGTCGCCAAGCAAGGCTGTCCGCCATTTTTTTCCCCTTTTCCGGCGGGTGCCTTACCTCCCTTGGGCTGGGCCAGCTGGTGGTCGCCCTGCTCCGTCTCTGCCGCTTGCCAGCTATGCCTCGGCCGGCGCAGGGGGCGGAACCACGCATGCGTGGCACTCCCGGGCAGGGAAAGTCCTCGACTTACGACCGGTTGGGTAGTCCTCGACTTACGACCGGTTTAGTCCTCAACTTACGACCAGTTTAGTCCTTGACTTACGACCGTTTGGGGGTCGCGGCATTAAAAAGGTTGAGAACCACTGATATAGAGGATGCTGATCTTGTGGCTTGGTTTTTCACTTCTAGCCTATTCATGCAAGCAATAAATAATAGAGTTAGCAATAGATTATGCACAGAAACGTTAGCTATTGGGTTGTCATGCTCATTCAAAGTAAATATAAATGTAAAATTAAAGACATGATACAAACATACTATTTCTCAACAAGAGGTGACCCTGAAGAAGTTACTCTAGAAAAATTACATTATTTTTTTTATTCTAGGAAGGAAAAATGATGTTAACCTGGACTTCAGGCTGAATGCTTCCCATGATTAGCATCATTCAGGATGCCACCAATCATGGAATTAACTCCATTTCAGATGCCTTCTTTTATAAATATCTCATACGAAATGCCTCATTCTTCTCCTCATAAATAAATTCCTTCTATTTATTAACTAAATACCATGTCATTTGGTGTGTACTCCATGCTTTTCATGCTTTGTTTTCCCCAGTTGCTGCTAATTTACAAAAAATAGTAGATGACCCCAGAGCCTTGAAAACATTAACCTTTAAACTGGTAAGTAAAGTACCGTTGGAGATGAAATGATGTAAGTAAATAGAAAAGAATTACTGATCTTTTTGAGCAAGGTACTTTCTTCATTTCTGGCCTTTATTAGTCTTTTTTTTAACTGAATGCTGACCTTTCAAGCATTTTATTAGTCTATGCAAAATGAAGTTAGAAAGTAGAAAACAGCCTTTGTAGCTTTTTTATTTCACTCGCTGGAAATCATAATTTATAAGAAAGGAAAAGAAAAACCAGCACTACTCTATCAATCTCTGGTGAGCTGACAAACCCTGACATATATCTTGTGTCCTTACGCTCCTCTGTATCTCCTGGTGCCTCCCATGTATTGGCTGACAGGGATAAGACTTTCTGATTTGTGTTAGTTGAATCCCTGAATCTACAATAATTTATTTCTTAAGAAGACAGTAAAATTAAGCTTGGGCATCTGGTGTGAAGTTTGCATTTTTCTGGGTAAATAGCTTACTGTTTGGGAATTGTGGAAATTATTACAGTATGTGTTTCCTGAAGTCCAGAAGGCAATAATAATAGCCATGCTATAGCATGTTTAGCTTCTCTCAGCTATAGTTTGTTTGTTCACCCAGCATACTTCCTCTTACTTTTTTTTTTAATGGGGCCCAATTCACACATTTGATCTGCATCACTCCCATGCTTAATAATTTGCAAATGAAAGTATGGATTCCTTCTGAAGGTACATGTCGGCTTGGACCTTCAGATAAAATAAAAGACTTGTTGAATAATTTTTCTCCTCTTCCCATAGCCATGTATATCACTATAAAATGCTCCTTGCAGAAGTGGAGTGATGGGTTGAAAAGTGCTCATGGATAGTCAGACATTCCCATATTAAATCAAAATGTTCTGATTGAGCAACGTCTCCTCCCTATGCCTCATTGTTGAGGGGTGCCCTTGTTTTATTTTTATTTATTTAAAATATTTATATTAGGCTCCCCATTTAAAGGAAAGAGGGATGTGTTTTGTGATGACTCAAAAGAAAGGGGTCACCATTTCCAGCTTCCCCCATTGATTATAAATATATGCAGTTTCCAAATTCCCAAATTTTGATCACATGACCATGGGGATGTTGCAATGGTTGTAAGTGTGAGGAGGAGTTGCAAGCCAATTCTTTCAGTGCCATTGTAACTCCAAATGGTTGCTAAAGAAATGATTATTAGTCAGGGACTACCTGTACAGTAAAAGATTAATGTGTAGATATGTCTGTGTGCTCTTTGACATCATGCTGGCCACATGACCACAGATACCTCTTTGGACAGCACTGGCTCAGTCGCCCTTGAAATGGAGATGTGCACCGCCCCCTACAGTTGGCATCGATTAGCGGAGTAAAATCTGCAGGGACTCTGCGTTGTGCACAGTTGGAGAGCAGTTCGAGAGAGGCACTATTGAAGACCTCAGTCAGCAATAATTATGACAAAGTGGAATGTCAGTTTTATAATTGGACTAGGAAACAATGTAATCACTGCATCAGAATAATAATATATAGCACATTCAGGTTCCTCAGCTGTTCCCCCTCCAAGTCATGATCTAGAAACAGTTCTGTTATGCCCTAATTGAACTAATTTTTCAGTAGCTAAAGTGGGTTGTAAGTACTGTATCAGACTCAGCTTGAGCTTTGCAGTTGGTCAACCATAGCAAATGGCTCTCCCTATATTGTAGGTAGTGATCGGCTGACTTCCATTTGTGCAGCAGCCCTTCAAAGTTATGGCGCTGCTGGAAAAAAATGGACACATAAATGATCCCCAAAGTTGTGGTCATCACAGCACCTCCATGGTCATGTGATTGTGATCCAAGCACTTGAGTGCCCAGCTCACGAGTTATGTTGTCACAGGG